ATTTTGAGTTTATTTTGTGTATATGTGAAGTGATTTGGTTTCATTCTTTTGCATGTAGCTGTCCAGTTTTCTCAACACCATTTTTTGAAGAGACTGTCTTTTTCCCATTGCATATTCTTGCTTTGTCATAGATTAATTGACTATATGATGGTGGGTTTATTTCTGGGTTCTCCATTCTATTTTGTTGATCTATATGTCTTTTTATGTGCCAGTACCATACTGTTTTGATTACTACAGCTTTGTGGTAATATCTTGAAATCTGAGATTGGATACTTCCAGTTTTGTTCTTTTTCAAGATTGCTTTGTTTATTTGGGGTCTTTTGGGATTCCCTACAAATTTTAGGATTATTTGTTCTAGTTCTGTGAAGAATGCTGTTGGTATTTTGCTAGGGATTGCATTAAATTTGTAGATTTCTTTGGGTAGTATGGACATTTTAACAATATTAATTCTTCTAATCCATGAGCATAGTATATCTTTCCATTTGTTTTCTCTTCAATTTCTTTCATCAGTGTTTTATAGTTTTCAAAATACAGGTTTTTCACCTACTTGGTTAAGTTTACTTCTAGGTATTTTATTATTTTTGGTGCATTTGTAAATAGGATTTTCTTAATTTTCTGCTACTTCATTATCAGTGTGTAGAAATGCAACAAATTTCTCCACATTAATTTTGTATCCTGCAATCTTCCTGAATTCACTGGTCACTTCTAGTAGTTTTTTTTTGGTGGAATCTTTAGGGTTTTCTATATATAGTATCATGTCATCTGCAAATAGGGAAAATTTTACTCCTTTTTTTTACCAATTTGGATGCCTTTTATTTCCTTTTCTTGTCTGATTGCTGTGGCTAGGACTTCCAGACCTATGTTGAATAAAAGTGGTGAGAGTACACATCCTTGTCTTGTTCCTGATCTTGGGGGAAAAGCTCTGTTTTTCACCACTGAGTATGATGTTCATTGTGGGTTTTTCATATGTGGCATTTATTATGTTGAGGTATGTCCCCTCTAAACCTGCTTTGTTGAGGGTTTTTATCATGAATAGATGTTGTATTTTGTCAAATGCTTTTTTCTTCATCTGTTGAAATGATTATGTCATTGTTTATCCTTTCTCTTGTTAATGTGATATATCACATTGGTTGATTTGTGAATATTGAACCACCCTTATATCCCAACAGTAAATCCCACTTGATTGTGCTGAATGATTTTTTAAATACATTGTTGGATTTGGTTTGTTAATATTTTGTTGAGGATTTTTGCATCTATGTTCATCAGAGATATTGGTCTTCTCCTTTTTTTTTTTGGTAGTGTCTTTGTCTTATTTTGGTATCAAGGTAATCCTGGCCCTTTGAGTGTCGCTTCTAATTGTGACCTGGCAAGCTTAAGACTGAGCTGGCATTTAGGAAAACTTCTTCCTTGAATATCCTTATTTGAGTTGCTTAAGCAATTTCTGTTCCTCTTTCAAGGAGGAATCAAGTCAAAATCACCCCAAAGGAAAATAGGTAGGACTTTATTCTGAGGTTGGCTTAACTGTTGATGAAAAGGATTCAGGTAGCAATGGATTATACTGTCCTTGCCACTTAGGCCTGGTGCTTCCTTGGCACAGGGTGAGATGCTTAGAAAGACTTGCTTTTAATTTATGGTGATTAAGGGAGAGCACTCTGTGTACTTGGAGAAGTGGCTCTGCAAAGGGCTACTTTGAATCTAATATACATCAAAGGCCTTGCTTTTGCCCAGATAAAGGTTACATGTGAATTCAAGGTGATGTCATTCAAATAATTATTACTGAACAGGTTTAACCCAAGAAAGATTGACCTTACTTACTGAAAATGTGGTTAAAGAATACAGAGGCATATTTGATTTTTCATGATGATCTGTTGAATTGCATATAAGATTCAGGTATGAATAGATTAATGCAACTACTATGTGTGGGCTCTATTTGAATATAGCATTTCAATTCTCTGGAAGTGATAACTACATTATTAGGGTAAAGGATTCTAAAAAGGTAAAGACAATAAATAGGCTAGCCGTGTAAATAAAATTTTTTTAAGGTTTACTTTTCTTGTGCATGAGCTTATACCAAATATAAATGGTTTGGTATAATTTAGAATAAGAGCCACACTCTTCTGTAGCTTTGGTCTCTTAGGGATGCTACATTGTGAGGAAAGAAAGGTCTTTAGCTTTGTTCAGTAGAAGTTGGTAGTAGATCTGAATGTTCAGGTTTCTAGGATTTCAGTGCTCATGATTTTGGAATCAAAGCCTCAGGGTGATAGGGTACTTGGTGTCTGATTTCAGAATTTATCATGATTTTCCTTGACAGTTATACTTATTAAGATGGAGAATAAATCAGAACATAGGTATGTAAAGTTACTTGAGGAAGCAAACTGCTCTCAGGCCTGCAAGATTTAATTGTAACCTGTTGCAATGTGAAAACTGTGTCAGTCTGAACAGGCCAGGTTAACCCTAAGGAAGCATAGAAGATGAAGAGTCACTGAAGCAACAGTTGGCAGTCAGTTGGCCTCTGTGATGGCAGTTTCTCACAGTATGGCATTTTAATGACCATTTAAGTCCTCTATACATCTTAGTTATCTTGAGATCTCTCTCAGGACTGGCATGGAAATAAAACAGGACAATGGCTAACAGGTACATGAAGAGGTGCTCAGTGTCACTAATTATCAGTGAAATGCAAATTAAAACTGCAGTGAGATAGGACCTCACAGCTGTTAGAAGGACTGTCATCAAAAAGATGAGAGAAAACAAATGTTATTAGTGAGAAGGTAGAGAAAAAGGAATCCTTGTGGACTGTTGGTGGGAATATAGTGGTGTGGCCACTGTAGAAAACAGTATGGAGATTCCTCAAAAATTAAAAATAGAAATACTATGTGATCTGGCAGTTTTTCTTCTGGGTATATATCCAAAGGAAACAAAAACAGGATGCTGAAGAGATATCTGTACCCCCGTGTTCATTGTAGCATTATTTATAATAGCCAAGGCATGGAAACAACCTTAGTATCCATTGATAGATGAACGGATAGAGAAAATGTGATACACGCACACACACACACACACACACACACACACACACACGCAGGAATATTAGCCCTAAAAAGGGAAATCCTGCCATTTTTGACAACACGGATGGACCTTGAGAGCATTATGTTAAGTGAAATAAGTCAGACAGACAAATATTGTATAATCTCACTTATATGTGGATTCTAAAAAAAGCCAAACTCCTAGAAATAGAGAGCAGATTGATTGGTGGTTGCTAGAGATGGGGGATGAGGGAAATGGGTATACTTCCAGTAATCAGATAAATAAATTCTGGGGATATAATGACAGCATTGATGACTACAGTTAACAAGACTTATAGTATATTTGAAAGTTGCTAAGAGAGTAGATCTAAATGTTCTCATCTCAAGAAAAAAAATTGTAACTATGTGATGTGATGAATGTTAACTAAGCTTAATGTGGTAATCATTTTGTAGTTTATACATATATCAAATCATTATGTTACACACTCCAAGCTAATATAATGTTATATGTCAATTATACCTCAATAAAATTGGGGAAGAAAGAAATGGAACAAATGAGTTTGGTGACTCAAATGTTTAAATGGTGTAAGGTTAAGAAAGCCTGATGTCTCCCAGTTTGAATACATTCTTGGTCTTAAGGCCTTGAGAGCAGAAGACCAAGTTGAGATTCATCTAGCTTTCTCTTTTTAGATGATACTCTTATACTGGATCTAGCTTCATTCATTATATTTTATTTGTCTTTACTCATCCACTTTTAAAAATGACTCAGAAAATGCACATAAGAAGTTAGTTTTCAGTACTGATAGAATTAGTAAGGATTCCAATTCAGGACCCTTCTGCCCCGATAGGCATTTAAACGATGTGAAATAGTTATGGTGAAAATTCCCTGAAAAAAATTATTATTCTCATGACTGTTCTTGACAAGTATAAAGAGTAGTATTCTAATAAGAAATGGAAGGGCAAGGTAAAGTGTACAGTATGACACTTGGGGGCCTAAGAGGAGGAGTTTGGCATTTCATCTCTTCATGTTTTCTTTATCCAGTTTGATTCAGTGCATCCAACTTTTTTCATTCAATTGAAGTTGGTTTTGAGTTTTTATTGGGGTGGAAACTGTTGAGAAAATGCTGGGGATTTCAGAGGAACCTTGAAGACCATTTAGGGCAGCAATTTTCAAACTTTTCCTCCTCAGTACTTCAGATGGTCCAGAAGAATAAGCCAAAAGTTGACTGATTTGGGGGCGTGTCCCAAAGTGGCTCAGTGCAAACAGAACCTTTTTGTCTTGATTTTAGCTTAAAAAACTATGGGGGGGGGGGG